CCAAAATTCAGAAGATGATTAGGGTTATGTGTTAGTCTGGGTGTATAAGAAAGAGATTTATATACAAGAGCAATTGAACATTGAGAAAACGTCTCAGCCCAGTCCAGATCAAGTCCATAAGTCCGATATTAGCCCATATGTCTGATATCAATCTACAACGTTCTCTTCAGACTCAAGAAACACATGCAATGAAGCCAAATGCAGGACGATCACAAGCCAGTGGGTAGAAAATCTTTGGGTCCAGTGGCATTGTCAGCATCTCAGCGCTGGCAGGGGTCTCTCTGTGGCTTCTCCGGCTTCCGAGGTCTGGGTAGATCCATGTGGCTTTTCTTCTGCAATGTGTCCCAGGGAGTATCAGAAAGAGAGAGATGTCTTCCATCTCCAAGGAGGAAGTACCAGGTTTCCCAGAATTCTCAGGAGAAGGCCATTCCCACACACAGTCTCATTGGCCATCTCCAGGTTGACAGCCTAGACTCCACCCCTACATTCTTAATCCTTCAATTGATACCAGATTAGGTGACTCCCGCACGTTACTTACCTGATAACTTAATATAATGAGTTTTCACTTTATAAGAGCATCACGCTTGTGCTTTTTAAAAACACTACGTGTTTGAAACTTTTTTTCCCTGCTCATATGCAATTAAGATGTGTATTGCTGTTGCTTCTGATCTTTAGTTCTAGGTGCATTCTTTGGTCAAACTCAGAAGCTCAATCATGAGCATGGCAAGACAAAAGAAGGAGAAAGAGAGCCTAAAGGAAGTGTGAGACAGGAGGTCTGTTTGGCACAGAACTCTCATTGGTAAAGGGTTTCAAATTTAGATGTCTACACTACATATAACTGTTGTGTGTAGATATATATATATATACAGTTCCAGTTATTCATGCAGTTGTTCTATAAAGTTGCAATGACTATTGAATTAGTAAATACTGAGCCATTGTTTCTTTTTTTAAAATCATTTTATTGGGGGCTCATACAACTCTTATCAAAATACATATGTACATCAATTACATAAAGCATATTTGTACATTCGTTACCCTCGTCTTTCTCAAAACATTTGCTCTCCACATAAGCCCCTGGCATCAGCTCCCAATTTCCCCCTCCTCCCCACTCCCCCCTCCCTCATGAACACTTGATAATTTATAAATTATTATTTTTTCATATCTTACACTGTCCAATGTCTCCCTTCACCCACTTTTCTGTTGTCTGTCCCCCAGGGAGGAAGTTAAATGTGTATCCCTGTAATTGGTTCCCCCTTTCTACCTCACCCTCCCTCCACCTTCCTGGTATCGCCACTCTCAGCACTGGTCCTAAAGGGATCATTCATCCTGGATTCCCTGTAATTCCAGTTCCTAGCTGTACCAGTGTACATCCTCCGGTCTAGCTGGATTTGTAAGGTAGAATTGGGATCATGATAGTGGGGGGCAAGCGGGGAGAGGAAGAAGCATTTTGGAACTAGAGGAAAATTATATGTTCCATCATTGCTACACTGCACCTTGACTGGCTCATCTCCTCCCCATGACCCTTCTGTAAGGGGATGTCCAGTTGTCCACCGATGGGATTTGGGTCCCCACTCTGCACTCTCCCTTATTCACAATGATATGATCTTTTGTTCTTTGATGCCCGATTCCTCATCCCTTCAACACCTCGTGATCACACAGGCTGGTGTGCTTCTTCCAAGTGGACTTTGTTGCTTCTGAGCTAGATGGCCGCTTGTTTACCTTCTAGTCTTTAAGGCCGTAGATGCAATATCTTTCGATAGCCAGGCTCCATCAGCTTTCTTCGCTACATTTGCTTATGTACCTGCTTTGTCTTCAGGGATTGTGTAGGGGAGGTGAGCCTCATGGAATGTCAGTTTAATAGAACAAAGTGTTCTTGCAATGAGGGAGTACTTGAGTCTGAGCCACTGTTTCTACATTTTATCTCAATGTGGCTTCCCCTCTGGGGAGGTAGAGGTGGCATCTAACCTTTCAATCAGGTGGCAGCCTGTTGACAGCTCCTTGGGGGTGTGGCCTATTTGAAATGCATAAGCAGAGAACTGGTTTTCTCTGTTCTTGCTGGTGTGAGCTCTGCATGAGTGACCCGGGCCTCACTCCACTGCCCAACCAGCCTGCCCACATCACCCTCTGCATCCTGCTTTTGGCACATTACCTCTGCAACTGCATGAGTCAGGAAGGACCTTGGACCCCACAGCTGACTTACGTATGTGAGCTGGACTAAGTTAGCCTTCTCTGCAGTTGCGTGGGTCACCCTCTTGATACACAGTCTTTTATTGATAGAAACTTCTCTATTTACAGCCATAAATACATCCTGGTTTGGCTTCTCTAGGGAACCCAAACTAATACAGGGGAATGCAGGCCCCTGTGTCAGTGAGCTCACACCTTTTTTTATCAGCAGATAAGTATGTAATGTTGCTTTATGTGAATTTCTGTTTAAGATACATGATGTAATATACATTTTCTTACTCAAAATCTTATTACCAATGCCTGAATGAAGTTTATATAACATATAGATTTCTTCAAAAAGTCAAATAATAGCCTTTTTATACCTACAGACACTAGACAGCACGTTAGCACTTGAAGTCTATTTTCAACAGCAATATTGGCCAGAGAAGGCACAGACATGTGAAAAGCATGACACTAATCACACTGTGAAGAGGACATTTGTGTTACAGTACGGAAGCGGAAGCAAGAAGATAGTGTGTTGCCTTTGTGACTTTAGGCACTACAGGACAACATTCTGTGAGTATTTCATTTGGGGTTACAAACAAATTTTAACATAGCACGATGAAGTGAAAGTTGTTCATATGGCTCCTCTATCCAAGTCTGAATCTGGTTATGTATTAAGCTGTTAACCACACAGCCAGCAGTTGGAAACCACTCGCTGCTCTGTAGAAGAAAGATGAGGCATTCGATGTCCATACAGAATTACGTCTTGGGACAACCACAGGGGCCGTTCTATTTTATCCTATAGGGCTGCTGTGAGTCAGAATCAACTCAATGGCAGTGAGTGTGCATTTGGATCCATGACTCTGTCACATAAGCCAAATGATTAGGTGGGATGATGTAAATAGGGCTTGTATAACACTAATTAAGGAAATTGGTCCATTTCATGGCCATTCCCCTATCTAAAGGATGGCATCCACGTGCAGGAACAGAAAGAAATTTCAGGACCATTGGATCACATTTGAGATCTCTGTCTGAAATGGTCGAAGCCAAGACCAGAGGCCCAGAGGCTGCTGTATGGGAATTATGGGAGAGAGCAAAGGAGCCAGGCTTGAGACCAGAGGCTGAAGCAAGGGGGAAACGAGATACAACAGAGTAATAACATGGAAGTTATGAGGGAGAACAACAGGTGGGTTTGTTGGCTTATAAAGGCAGAGGCCAGGGGGCCCTGTGGCCGAGAGACAGAACACTAGAGAGAACTTTGGCAACCGACTAAGTAGAGCTGCTGCTGAAGACCAATGAATTTAGCCTTAATGATTTCTGATCCTGGTTTATGGTAACTTGTTAGGTTCCCTAAAAAAAAAACCTTAATTGAGAGTACTGTCCATGAGTTCTGAGGATCATTTCAATGGATTATTAGACCTACAGAGAGGTAGAGTGTTGTCAGAATTGGGTAAAAAATTTTTAAATAAATTATCAAGGGTTCATGAAGGAGGGAGGGAAAGGGAGAGAGGGGGAAAAATGAGGAGCTGATACCAAGGGCTCAAGCAGAAAGAAAATGTTTTGACAATGATGATGGCAACAAATGTACAAATGTGCTTGACAAAATCGATATATGTATGGATTGTGATAAGAGCTGTATATGTACCAATAAAATGATTTTAAAAAGAGGAAGAAGAAGAAGGATGGAAGGTGGAGGCATGTCTGACCTCTGTTTATGGCAATGTGCCCTGGGAAGATGTGGAAATGGATTCTCCTCCCTTGGGTAGCCAGAGGGGTCCAATATGGTCTTGGCACCATTTTTCACATAGATTTAATTATCAATACGGTTTCAAATCATTAAGATCTACTATGAGTATCGGCACAAGGATACATGCACACATAACCCCCAACCAAATCCATAGTCCTCAGTCCAGTCTGATTCCTGATGGGGCTATAGGGAGAGTAGAATGATCATAGTGGGTTGTCAATGATGCAGACTGCCACATTGTTCCCTTGCTAGCTGCTGGTGTGCTTGGACTGCCAATATATTAGTTAGGAGGAGAGGTTTCAACGATTGTGTCACTAGAACTCTTATATATACCAAGATATATAGCAAATCATGATATAAGCATGCTATATGTAGATATTAGGCAAATATGTACATGCATTTATACTTGTGTGTCGTGTAGAATAATTTGTTAAATTATAACATTTAAAATATACCACAATCTAATTTTCCCTTTGCCTCTTTTCCTCTGCTTCAGGAATCTCAACAATAAAGCCACATTGAGCCGGTCTCATTCTCTAAGAGCTGAAATTTAATCCATTTTCCTTTAGAAAATTGCTTAAGAAATGTTTTTATAAAGGTCTCTATTATGACTCACCAACAAAATTTACTTAGATCGTTATTTGTTTTGGCTTCCCTCTAAATGCCACTCTTCTGAAGATCAAACTTATTTAACTCAAACTTCAAATGCAGTGCCTATAAATAAACACAATACTCTAGATGTGGTATTACCAGGAGGGGAAGGCACAGAATTATTTCTTGATCCAGCCTAGAAAACGTATTTCTCTTAATGTAACCTAGGATAGCATTTGTGTTTTTTTTTACCGTTTGGCTATTATTAATCTAATGCAAAAAGAACATCTTAGTAATGTTCTACATCTTACTGCTAAACCAAGTTTCCTTTACTCTATGTTTATACAGCTTGACTTTAAGTAGTGGATAATAATAATTGTTTTATGCTCTCTCACGATCAAAGTAAATGTATATCCTGCACATTAAACACCGGTAATTCAATTGAGGAGGCAGTAAAATAAAACCAAGCAAACAATCTTGGCAGCTCATATCCTACCTGTAAAAGCCTGGTGGCACCTGCCTCACCAGGAAGTTCTTCTCCATGTCTTGGAGAATGTCATTCAGCATTCGGATGCGGCTGGGGGCTCTCTCCTTTGGATCATTAGCAGGACGCATCTCATCTGACTGAAAGAGCTCCACGCTTTCCCGCAGGCGTGAAGCCAAGGCCAGAAGTTGATGAGGGTTGAGTTGATTACCTGGTGAAAATAAATGTGCCATCTCAGAAGAGAAACATTTCCAAAGGAGAAAAATAACCATTTTACAATCGTGACGCTATGGTAGACTCATAGGAACAAATCATCCAGGTCACTGCAGACAGAGAGGTTGTCACCGACAGTTCTCTTTGGTCTGTCATTTGGGGAAAATAAAACAAGAGTGAACATAGTAGAACAATCCTTATCAATTCCACACCAATTAAACGTTGATAATTTATGCATTTAGCAAAAGTCATTGTGTAAAAATATTTTTATATTCTACTAAATCCACTATTGCAATAAAAACAGCAGTAAATAGTTATAGATCATTGAGAGAATGCTGTATTCCAGGTGCTGTGTTAAACAGTTTATAAAATTACCTCATTTAATATGCAACAAACCTTGTATCATCATGTCCATTTCCTAAAAGCTGAAGATTAATTAAAGTAAGCAAATAGCCACAGATCATCTACCAAGTAAATGGCAGGCTTTTTAGAAATTAGCCAGCTGCCCTTTCTGACACACAAATTCATGCTTACCGTGATGTATCCTCGATTTAAGGGGGAAATAAAAGTGTGTGCCACAAACCCATGTGTACATAGAAAGGGCACTGTATTCTACTTGCCTGAGCATGAGACGTGTGCTACTTTACCATCATGGGTCTACTGAATGGTTTGTGGGTGTTTTTTTTACTAGAGAGCTCCGGTGGAATAAAATGGAAATGCACTCATTGCTTGCTTCTCACTCTATTCAGGTTCCCAAGACCAAGCCCTTCTGTGCAAAATGGAAGATAACAACATCATATCACACAACGGAGCATGAGTACATCACTCCACAAAACCCCAAGTCTCACCCTTTCAAAAATGCTGAATTACATCATCTCACAACTGTCACAGCCCTGATCATCTTGGTGCAGTCCGTGGGGCACAACCCAAACCAGTCCAGCCAGTGTTACCCTTCTCTCGCACCTTGGCATACCTTATCACCAGGCTACATGAGTGTACAAAATAGAAGGCCAATGGACGCTACGCTATTCCCATTAATGCAAAAGGTGGGAAAACAAGAGAGCCAATAGTGCAGAAGCAACAACTCCAGCACAAATCACTGCCATCAAGTCATTTGGGACTCGTAGTTGGAGTGCTCACTGCAAGGTCCGTGAGGAGCCACTCCCAAGGAGGAACACGAGGCTGCTAGCGCCATCGAGGGCCACCGTCTCAAACACTCACAGGGGCGGCTCTGCTCTATTCTATAGGCTCAGTAAGACAAATAAGCAGTGGGTATACACATCTTTTTCTTGATGAGAAAATATTCAGCTGGATCGCAGTGGGCCTGGGAGTTGATATATTCTTTGGAATGTTCTCTTTTGTTTCCAGGTAAGTTTTGCTTGTTGGCTGCTGTTTTCTTCATTTGGTTTGTGTCACTTACTGAAAGTCATTCTGATATGAATGGTGGTCGTAAGGACACAGGCAGTTCTTTGATCAAGAGAAAGGCAACTTCAGTAGAATGGTTACGTCTCAAAAAAACACCTTCAAACTCACTGAGATTGAGTCCCTTTTCAATCATAGCAACCCTCTGGGCTGGTAGCACTGCCTCGGAGTGTTTCCAAGACTGAAACTCTTGATGAGAGCAGGAAGCCTCATCGTTCTCCTGCTTAGTGGCTAAGTGTACTGAACCTTAAACACAGACCACCTGAGTTCAAATCCCGGCTCTAGATCACATAGCAGCTTTGCAATGTCTGGCAAGTGTGTTCCTTTGTCAATTTGAGGTAGTCATAGAATTTGCACCATATAGTTATCATATGGATTAAATAATAACCATCTCCATAGAAGAGTGGCTCGCACTGACGTGATTTGAAATGTGGTTAGAAGAACATTCTGCTGTCATGCCAGGGGAGGTCCAATGCCGCATCACTTTCTTCCAGATCACCCCACAGTCGTCTGTCTTTCTTTGGGGAGATGGTCACGTAATTCTCGGGAGATGAGAAAGAAAACTGACAGAATAAGATGAACACGGAGGGTGACGTCCACTCAGGATAATAAATGAACCAGGACCTGATCCATCCAAGTTGACAGTTCTGAAAAGGGGCGTGTAAGACAGCTTACATTGTTGAGTTTTACCTAAATTCTAAATTCCTGGAAAAAAACCAAACGGGTGTGGTGAAAGAAGGCCTCTACTCTTTGCAGTTGCTGCTTTTCGGTGTCATCGAGTTGGCTCTCGCTCAAAGTGACTTTATGTGAAACAGAACAAAACACAGCTGGGTTTGGCGTCATCCTGAGAACTCTTCTTATATTGGAGCTCATGGCTGCAGCCACTGTGGCAATCTACCGTGCTGGGACCTTTCCTCTGTTTTGCAGCCTCTCTGCTCTACCACGCATGACGTCCCTCTCCAGAGAATGGTCTCTCTGAAAACAGGGCCAGAGTATGTGAAAGGAAGTCTCTCTGTCTTTGCTGTACATCTGCCAAGACAGACCCATGACTGCTTTAGAACATCCATGGAACTTCAATATCCTTCACCAGCACCATAATTCAAATGTGTCCATTCTTCCTTATTCAGTGACTAACTTTCACATATATATGAGGTGATTGGTAGCACTCAAAGGAACATGCTTGATTTCCAATACTTGAAAGAGTTCTTGTGTAGCAGATTTACCCAGTGCAATGTGCCGTTTGATCTCTTGACTATTGCTTCCATGAACATTGGTTATGGATAAAAGCAAGATGATATCCTTGACAATTTCAGATTTTCTCTCTTTATCATGGTAGTACTTATGGGTCCAGTTGTGAGGACTTTAGGTTTCTTTACATTAACTTGTATTTCATACTGAAGGCTGCACTCCCTTATCTTTATCAGCAAAGGTTTCAAGCTCTCCTCATTTTCACCAAGCAAGATTGCGTCATCTGCATATAGGAGATTGTTAATAAGCCTTCCTCCAATCCTGATGCCACATTCTTCTTCATGCAATCCATTTTCTCTCAGTTTGCATAAGTTGGGTGAGAGGATACAACCCGGATGCACCCCTTTCCTGTTTTTAAACAATGCAGTATTCCCTTATTCTATTTATGCTACTGCCTCCTGATCCATGTACAGTTTCGACATGGGCACAATTAAGTATTCTCGAATCCCCATCCATCTCGAATCCACAATTTACTATGATCATGAGGCCTGATATTAGGCTGCCTATAAGAAAACAGATTTTTGTCTCTTGTGTTCTTTGCTACTTGCTAGCACCTAAAACCATGCTTATCAGGTAACGAACAAATAACTGAATCTTTTACTTTTATCATGGAAAACAGGTGTAATATTTTTATCCTCGCTGGACTTCTACTTTACTCTCCCTTCCCCTTGGTTGAAAGAATGGCTCAAGAGCAGGGAGTATATCTTCCTTCTCTTCTGTCTCCAGACCCTAGTATTATGTCGTTGTAACATAGTAAACTTTTATTGTGATATTTGTTGTACAATAAGCACAAACAAAAAAAAACCAACTATTTATTTTACTTTCTTGCTCACCATCAGAAATGGCAAAGGAAAAGAAAAACAAACAAACAACAACAACAACAAAAGCAGTGAAAGGACAAGTGGCCCTTCTAGTGTAACTAAAATTAAGTTAATCTAAATTGAACTAAAAATGCCCGACTAGTGATAAACTAGTAATAGTGGTAAACACTAATAATATATGGACTATAGTATGAAACCGTGAACGTGAGGGAAGAGAAGACAAAGTGAGGTTCATGACAACTCAAGTTTAAAAGTAATGAGTATATTTGACCAACGAAAATGGACCGTGAATTAAACATTTCTCTCAGAGAAGATTAGCACACATCTCTCACTTTTGTATGTGACGTTGTAGACCAATAGTGGCCGCTGCTGTGGTTGGTACATGCCTGGGAGTAGGTTCCGCTGCACAGAAGCCCTGAATACAGCACAGCAAACACCAGCCTGCCCGGTGCCATCTCACAAATGTTATGCTTGAGCCCAGTTTTCCAGGCATTGAGTTGATCCAGCTTTTCAAGAGTCCCGATTTTTCACTGCCCCTCTACGTTACCAAGCATGATGTCCTTCTCCAGGGACTGATCGCTCCTTATCACATGCCCACAGTACTTTAAATGAACTCTCACCAATCCTCGCCTCGAATGCTAAATACATTATATTAATAGGCAGATGCGAACCTGGTCTATTTAGTGATTAACAATATAATCTTTAATAAATATATTTTTAATACTTTGTCTTTAAACTTCTTTGGATAAAGTAAGGAAGGTTGCTGTATAATTTTCTAAGCATAAAATATATTATATCCATAAATTATAATTATTGAAATATGGAAAGAAAACTCATTAACAGCTGATTTTTTAAAAGCATATGGACATACTGAGACAGCTTTCCCACTGATTTCAATTGGCCCTGGCCATTTTTCCCCCAATCCCTGCTCCCCAACTTTTACCTCTCCTTACCCTAAATACCCCAGTTTTATTTTTTAGTGCCTATGGGTGTAGAGCAAATGTTCTTCTCTGTACAGGCTGGCAACTCAAAGTTCTGAAGCTGGGGAAGGGAACCATGTTATTAGTAGTGCAGTATTAAGTAGCTAAGGCAAAGGGAAGAAATTATAAAATCAAAGAGCTGAACAGAAAATTTCAAAGGACCTCTTCAGAGCCCCCCCCCCCAAAAAGGTTAAATTAAAATGTGCAAAGACCTAGACAGGGGTGCTTAAACTTTTTAAACAGGGGCCAGTTCACTGTCCCTCAGACCTGTTGGAGGGCTGGACTATAGTTAAAAAAAAAAACTATGAACAAATTCCTATGCACACTGTACATATCTTATTTTGAAGTAAAAAACAAATGGGGCAAAAACACCCGGCGGGCCGCCAGATAAATGTCCTTGGCGAGCCACATGTGGCCCATGAACGGACGTAGTTTGAGGATGCCTGATTCCTAGAGTTAGAAAATCAAAAAGGAAGAATGCTCTTAGCATATCTTACACGGAAAGAACACAAGCAAAAAATGCAAGC